ATAAATATCTTTTATAATGAACTCTTGAAAAGCAAAACTAGTACCACTCACACAAATATTAATGTTTATGTTAATCTATGCATATAATTTCATTTACCTTAATGCACCAAAAACTTTATGACCACGATGCACTAGCTTAGCTAGATGTAAAAATCTCAAAGTCTCCATGTGACTATACAAACATTATTCTGACCTGAAGGATTTTATGATTGTGACAGGTATTGGACTTGGCTAGATGTAAAAATCTCCAAGTCTCCATGTAAATCCTTTAATGCTATTCTAACCTAAAGGATTTTATGATTGTGACAGGTATTGGACTTGGCTAGATGTAAAATCTCAAAGTCTCCATGTGACTATACAAACATTATTCTGACCTAAAGGATTTTATGATTGTGACAGGTATTGGACTTGGCTAGATGTAAAAATCTCCAAGTCTCCATGTAAATCCTTAAATGCTATTCTAACCTAAAGGATATTATGACAGGTAGACTTAGTTAGATGTAAGGATCTGCAAGTCTCCACGTAACTATGTTTTTCTGACCTCAAAGATTTTATGAGAGGTCCCAATTCAGTTGGAAAAGTCAATTTCAGCATCCTTAAAACTGGAAAAAATAATGTAACAAAATGGAAGTTGTTGAAAAATTATAATTTTAGTCCTTAGCATTAATTAAACAATTCAGATATTTCCAGTTTTCATTACACAAAGTCATCAAATCCAAATCTTGGCTGGAGTGAGAATTTTTCAATAACATTTAACACTAAGAAAGGTGGACCTTCCAGAAATCTTGAAAAAAACTATACTAGGCTCTTGAGTTATGGTTGAAATGCTGAAGTTAATGTCACAAAGTGATGATAATTTTTTCAATGTAGATGCCAACAGAAAAGTTAAAAGTACACAAACTAAAAATGAAAAAAAAAACTAAGTACAGAAAACTTACTCTCATCATATCCTTGGTAGAATATTAGAACAACACTCCAAACTTATTGCTACAAATAAAGCTAACTTAGCACAACTGAGAATAAAAGATTTAATAAAATTATAATAATGACACCAAAGGGTTACATCAAATGATTCCAGTGTTTCAAAGAATTACAAATACACTAGTTAGTCTAAGCACACACTAAAGCTCCATCATTTCCTAACTGTTAACAAATTTGATTTTGTTTACTTCCAACATGTCACAATTAGTATAAAATATTATGTTAATCTTTCATATTTTGCACTAACTGCAGAATAAGGGTAAGGCAGAATAAGTAAATATTGTACTTTGTAATTGTTGTTTAAAAGTATACAATACTGTAAATGTCTCAATAAGCTGTCATACAAAACATAATATACAAAAGATAGTACTACTCCACATTGTGGACAACACACACTTGTTAATGCTGCAGGCCAATCACACAATTGCTGTAAGTTTAAGTACCAATACTGTTTTGATTCTTCTAAAAAAATTTTTTCAACAACCATACTACATAACAAAAACTACCAAAATTTATACATGGAGTAAAATGTTCATCATGCTTTGAAAAAGTTTTCATTCCTTCAGTAAAACCTCCTCCAGAAATTGTAATGAATACTAAAAAGTACACTTTTCAGTATTAAGATGTTAATGGAAGCTAGCAGCTGCACACCTTTTTTGCCTCAAGTAGCTGTTAATGGACACAATAACTTCTCACTCCTCTGCATCAAAAAGCTCTTAATGAAAGCTATTGTTTCACACTCCTTTGCTGCTCTACAACAAGCAACTGTTGATAAAGGCTAACACCTAATCACTCCTTTGCCGACCTGTACTAAGATGATACTAAGAGAAGATAAACATCTGATGGTCCATGGCTCATACAGGTCAAGAAATCATTAATAAAAGTCTGGAATTCTTAAATTACTACCTACACTACTAGTGTACCTCAGTCTGATATTGTTTAAAATCTTTACCTATAGGAACATCACTAATCTAGCTACCGTTTATTAATAAGTTTCTGATAACCAAGCAACATCTGAAAAATGACTGGTGAACAACATTACAAGCTCTTGTTACAAAACTGTAAAAATTGATTTATAGTTTCACTAGAGAAGTAGTCATAGATAAGAAAAATGATTTTAACTTAATTGTACTTTCCTCCTTCATTTTTTTCATTTATAATTATATAAGCCAACCGATATGTAAATATATCATAGTCACATTAACTTTAAGACATATCTGAAACTGTCGGACATATCTGACAAGAGGAAAGGGAAGTTGACTCCAATCAAAAATCATGAACAGATAGTGAAACACCTTAAATAAATCAGAATAAAAGATTAAAAATTAGCTTATTTGTCTTTTCATATCTCTGTAATATAGGCTTGTTTTTTTGTCTATTAATGATTGTTTTCCAAGTTCTGATTCAAGGCACATACATTTAAAAACATAAACTGTTTAAAAATCTTCATTAGAGATATAGTTTACTTGCTAGTCACCAATATACATACTAGGCACTTCGAGATTTTAACAAGTAAACTTGAATAAGGCAAGAATTCGCACTGAAATCTTTGTACGATAAATATATATTTTGAATTTCTAACTATATTATTATTGATTTTTGATATAGCTGTGAGAGTATGAACAATAAAAGGTAGATGAAAACTCGAAGGACTGTGCACCTAGTTCATCACCTAAGAATTTTTCAAAGCTGTAAAATAATGCATTTGGAAATTAAACAATAAATGTATGCAATTTTTAACAAACCTGGAATGTACTATTTTAGTAAATAATTCATGCTATTTTCAGACGAATTCATATGCTGATGATGGTATATGAATGGTCTCAAAATGCATTAATATGTGTTCAAAAAAATCATCATTCTTTATGATACAAATAAAACTAACAAAACAAGCACAACCAATCTTTTTTTAAATGTTTACACCTTCTTGGTCAAACAATAATTCAAACTACAAATACAAATATTTAATAACTTTCTCAATTAATATGGACAACATAAAACAAAGAATTCTACTGAAGAGTTGATTAACATCTGATTCCATGTTTAATCAGAAGCTAAAGACTGGAACTGTGCTATACAACTAAAAAACAACAACAATCACTGTAAAATAAGGACCAACAATTGTGTTTTGTAAGTACCACCCACATTTAACTGTAAACTAAAGCCGGAAGCTAACATGTAAAATCCAGGTCTTAATGTAAGGTGAAACTGTACCATATGTATAGTTTTCCATTATCAAAAAAAACACATTGATAAGAAGTACATTTAAAATAGACTATCCACAAATTCATTTGTTAAATTTGTTTTATCAGAAAAAGTAATACACAACAATGTACCCTGAGCTAAAGCTAAAAAGAATATATTCAGTTATTTTCTGGACTGAACCTTCTGGAATTTTGATGTTTCATATGCACCCTGTACATATTGATATTTCTGAAAGTATAACTTTGCACTACAACATTTTTACATACATCTTTAAGGTTCTGTCTTTTGAGCTGAAGAGGGTCTTCAAATTATTATAGCAAAAATTATTCCAGTTACTTCAAATGCAAGTAAGTTTGAAATTTTAACCCAAATCTTTTACATAGTTTAATATTGATATTTTATTGTCACAACTACATTCGCACACATCCCAGACAAAATCATACTTTAAGAATGAATGTAGCTAAACAATCAATGGCTTATGTCAGCAAAATATTTGAAGTCTTTACACAACCAGCACTGATTTATTTATTTTAAAGATCACACATATTCTGATCACAAATACTTCTTCTCACTGCACTTTTAAAAAAACTGAATAATGGAGAAAAATGACTTTAGATTCTGGCTGCACAAAGTTTTTTTACTTCCTTGAGTACAACATTATAAAGAGTTGAATTAAGCTGTTGATTTTCCATGTTTTACTTCTTTAAAATAAAACTGAGATTATTCATTTATGACTGGACAATTCCTACTTTAGAAAACCTTATTAACAGAGCATTAAAATAAACTGTAAATTTATTAAGCACTACTTCTCCAAACTTCGTGATAAATAACAACATTTGTATAGTTAGCTCAAATTATCTATACGGACATCAGAAATAACTAGGCTATGCTACTGGGTGTATCATGCTATAATTCTTCAAACCCAACCATCAAATTTTGTCACTAGATATATCTAATCCTATCTTTCATACCAGGTATTGGAGGATTATAGGATACGCTAGTGGATGAATCAGGCTCTAGTCTTCCAAACATCACCATCAGACCAAGCTGCTGGATATATCTTATCCTGTTTATCCATAACAAATATTGGAAATAATCAGACAATGCTACTGGATGTATCACTCTCTAACCTTCCAAACATCACCATCAGACAAAGCTGCTAGATACATCTTATTCTATTTCTCCTAAACTGACAATGGTGATCACTAGCTAAAGTGCAATATACTTCTAGTATTAATGTTTTTAAACTAGATACTGAAGATGAAAAATTCCAATGGATGTCATCCTCTACTTTCTAGAACCCACCAAAAGAAATGGATTTGACTTCTGGTTGTAATTACTGATATAAAACTACCAGCAGTATTTATAAGTTGCTTACTATCATACAACCTGTTGGAAGTTGTTCTTAAACACCTTTAAGTGATACAACATATTTGTTATTATACTAAATTAAGAAAGAAGACTTTTATTTTTGGCATTGCTTAAAATCTCAGATTTAGATCTAAATGTTTTCTTATATTTTATATGATTTTGATAAGGAAGGTTATTGGTCCAATCAAAATAATGGAATTTTTTTCAATAGATTAATAATAAGACTAAAAAAGTTTAGTCAGTTTTGAAAAGTACTTTTACAAACTCCCACATCATAATAAATAATAAATATATGTATATATATATATATATATATCTCTATATATATGAAATGTAAATTTCAATGATTTTTTTTACCATAAAAAACATCCAATTTCACTGATAAAACAATACTGTTTATAAGCTTATATTTTAGTTTTCAACAAGAAGTGTTAGTGATACATAAGAGTTAACAATAGAAAATTTGGAATCATTACTAACATATTTTCTACGCAGGACTGACTATTTCCAGACACATGTTTTGGCAACATTTATCATAGACTATTGGAAAATAGTTATAATGTAAATTAAGATGATTAAACCCATGTGCTAGCTGCAGGTCTTCTGGCTTCAATTTTACAATCTTTCCAGGAGCCATTCTGCATGTCTTGAGGTGGGGTCACACCATTTAATGCTTGAACATGAGTACTAGCTGTCATAGACTTTGTTTGGTAATCCATAAGGCATTCATTCTCTTCAGAACAATCTTCTATGATAGGAGGGTACAATAGATCATAACGAGGTTGAAGAGAGGACCGAGCCCTTGAGCCTCGCTTTAAAGGCACTGTAGAGTGGCCATTTATGCTCGGACGTTGATAGCTGTGTGCCTCCTGTATGGGGCTAATGCTGTTAGGAGAGGTAGGGGCTGATTTCGGAGATACAGAATTTGGTGATCTCTGAGGGGTTGATACCTTCAGAAGTTCTGCAGCACTTTTACGCTCGCCCCCAGTCTGTGTGCTGCTTCTTGTTTGGAGAAGAAGCATTTTAAAGTCATGCATACTGGTGGGTCTTCTTGGCCCAAGACGATCTGTTGCCAAACTACGTCGATCACCTGCACAGAAAGGAGATGCATTTTCTATTCCAGCCCAACTTCGACGATCACCTGCCAAATGGCCACAGCGTCGACCTAAAAATCCAGTTTCTGCCAACACACTACGAGTGGGTGTTAATGGTCGACCACAAGGAGAACTTGAACCAGAGGAGTAGGGAGATGAAGTATCCACATCAGATTTTATATTGTGTTTCTTCTTAGAGCTATGGATAACAGCATACAGTTCAGCAGAAGACATTGTCTTTTTGGATTCTGAAACTGGAGACAATCCAATTGTAGAGCACTTTAGAGAACTCTTTTCAGGAGATGGTTCAACATGCAAAACTTCATTAGAGGGTGCAAAATTATGTAATGAAGACTGCTGGACAAGATCTTCAGCTTCATACAGCAATGATTTGGACATACAATATGCAGGAGACTTCGGTAACCTGATAACATCCGAACTTTGGGTAAAGGGTATGGAGGTTCTATCCTTTTGGCAATTTCTGAAAATTTCAATGGGATTCTGCATAGAGATGGCAGTGGTTAAATGTGAAGAGATTGGTGAAAAAAATTGGTTTTCACATTGTATAAATTTTGATTTTTCTGACAAAAGATAATCATCTCTTGTCTGTGTTGGGCCTGCATATAATGTTTGAAAATCTGAATTTTGAACATGTTTACTATGTTGTATATTTAATCTACTATCAAACTGGTGATTCCGTTTCTCATCTGATCTACTTCCATAACATACTTTTATTGGTCTAACTATGGAATGGTCAGGTTTGTTTTCATCCATCAAATTAGAATTTTTTCCATTTTGTAATTCAGTGGGTATAGGTACAGATTGAGAATTTTGAAAACCTGTTCTTCTATCTTGATATGTGGTACCAGAATTTGTTCTAATAAAAGCTTGTCTATTTTGTAATATTGGTGTTGTTGAATGGGGTCTTGTAATTTTATACAGAGTACTGTAAGAAGAATCACTGGTGGAAGGTTTAGAGACTGGAAGAAAGGTGTTTTTTTGTATGGAATGCCAATGAGCTCCAAAGTCTGGAAGTGACACTACAGAGCATGGTGTTGAGCATCGAGAACTATTTGCTGATTCTAGAGGACTGGAAGCTGGTATAAGAGTGTTATATTCTTGTAGTATCTTAACTGCTCCATTTTGTGGTGTTACTGGCAAAGAAGTTTGTCTTACTGGCAGTGTAGAATATCCTCGCCTGTTACTCAGTGTAGGGGACTGTGGCTCTACATATTTCATTGGATGACCATCTCTAAGTCTACCAAGAGAGTTGGAACTAAATATAACTTTCCCATCTGGATCTAGAGTAACATGGGCCACAGGTCTGTTAGCAGAGGGTGGCAATGCTGGTGTAGAAGTGTTTGAGTTACCACTTCCACGTTTTGTGGAATTGGTCAGTAAAGAAGTAGGCCCATGGGTAACATTTTTGTTGCTTTCTTTACCTATGTGGTCAGGAGATACAGAGAACTGAGAACTGCAAGATGATGACCCCTTAGGACTACTTGTACGTGCCAAAAGTTTAGAATTTGAGCTATAAGCAGGTGTGCTGGCAGGTGGTGAACAGCAGAAGCTAGTAGCAGGAAAATTAGATTCTGTATGGGTTTCTTCAGAATTTCTGGGAATAGGTGTGACTCTGATTTGATGAGCATATTTATCTGGAACTTCTGGAGAGGATTTATTGGAAAAGATCTTTGAAGCAAAGCTTTCTGCTGTGTTAGGAATTATATTATAGCTGTTGCTAGATTGTGGCGTATGCCTTGGAGACAATTCTACAGATGAGAATGAACTAAATTTAAGAGATCTCTCACAAAATGATGGTGATAACAAACGAACAGAATGATTATCATGGTTGCCAACTACTTTCATAAAGTTTGACTTTATTGGAGTTTGGTCCCCATACATGTTAATTATTGAGGAATCAATTTCTTCAGGAGTCTGTGTCTCATTACTGGCATACATGTTCTTAACACTTTTTTCTGAACCTTTTTTAGATTTCCCCATTTCTTTGAAATTCATCCTTGCTTTGTTCTGCTCATCCTCACTAATATCTGGTGAAACAGCACACATGGAAGGATAGCTGCTTGAGTTTATTGCTGTTTTTTTCCACAACCTCTCTCCAGCATCTTGATCTGATTCTGATGCTGAAACATCACTGTTTATTGTCGTATATTTCTTGTCTGGGACAATTTTTGTTATTCTGTCTTGACTGTCTGCAGGCTGCGAGTTATTAACTTGACTGGACAAGGTACTAAACAGTCTGGGAGGAGGTGGTGGTGGACACTTCTTTTGTTTAGTTAAAGTACTTGAGTTAGATGAAAGTTCAGTGGCAGTTTTTGAGAGTAAACTGTTTAAACTTCCATCCCCAACAGTGCTAACAGAGCTTTGGGAATGTCTGCGTTTTAAGTAAATAAACGAGTCGTTAGCTCTACTTTCTGCATCTTCTCCACTATATCCATATTCATATTGACTCTTCAGGCCACTATCAGTATGCATTGATGTGAAATATCCATCTGTATCAACTGAATAGACAGAACACTCCCCATCATCCACATTTTCTCGACCAGGAATATGGCAATGTTTAAGTTTGGGAGACTGAATCCATGGAGGAGTACCATTGGAATCAGAGAAATAATTCTCTGGTCTCAAAGTACTTGCTTTTAACCATGCTTCTGTGTTTTGGACACCAAGTCTCCTGCTATTGGCTGGGCGCCAACTTGATGGAACTGTGGCTGCTGTTGCAGCAGCTGAAGTATCCGAAGTATATCCAGTTAAATTTCCATCTTGGGATCTAAAAAACAAAATTATGTTTTCAATAACATATTACAAAGATAAGTATCTTTGTATATTTAGCAATGAAATGCATAAATTTACATTTACACTTCCAAATATCAGTAATGATATATGTAAACTTCTAGTTCTCAAGAAAACTCAAGAGATGACTCAAAATTTTGTTGTTGCATGACACTTGGAAGTACATCATTACATGAAAAAAAAGAGGAAAGAAACATATATGTTTATTCATATATAATTTGATAACATTCTACCAAATCCACATCATTATTGAATTTTTCTTTATTTCTAACACCAATAAAATAAAATATCTTGAGATATTCCTTAAGTAGCTGTTACATTAGTTACATTTAACAAATAAAATATTTATTTTTTGCTCTTATTAATAAGCACAAACCTATCCAATGAGCTATCTGTGATATACCAACCACCAGTACTGAAACCCAATTTTTAGTGTTATAACATGGGGTGGGGCTAAATAATATAATTAGCAATTAAAAATCCACATTTTATGTTTTATTGTTACACAATAAAAAAACATTAGTCATAACACACAATATCTTCACATCATAAAATATGCATGCTTTATGGATTACTTGTCTTTTTGAGGACACAGAATAATATTATTTATTAAAAAAACATTTTACTGTCAAGTTATAATGGAAACTCCTTAGTTTTTTCAATTGTGTTCTGTTTACATCCAAAATATCAAAAAAAAGATGCAGCAGTCTGTTTATTTCATTCTTTATTCTTTCTAATGAGTATTTTTTTGTCAAATGGACATTATACTCTAAATTCAGTTATTCAGTGAATTTGTGTGCTTAACATTCAAAAGTTCAGTTATTAGAATGGCAACTCCTAGTACACACTCACTGACATGCAAAATCAAGAAAAAATTGATAATACAATTTAAATTTCTCTAAACTTACTAGTAGCAAATTTTCAACATTCTGAAAACTAACATCATTAATTTTTGTAGAATTTTGTTAATAATATTATGCAATACTACTTTAGAGTTCACATAATGGTATGTACTTATAAAAGTTAATGTTTTATACTTAATAACAGCTGAGGTAGCAAGCTGAGTTAAATCATTATCTTTAAACTTGTCTTGATTACTGTTATTAAAACTGTAGTTGTAAAGACTTGCTATTCAGAGTATTCCAAATGAAAACATATCATTCATGTTAAAAAGTAATAATAACAACTACAATTTTTACATTTTAAGTTTTTATTATACAAAACATATGTGAAGTTTAAATACTCGTATTGGTTACAAGCACAGACATAATACTGAGACAATCCTCTGCAAACTAGGGGATAGGTAAACTGAACAACAGAGTATAAACAGTTATTAAGTCAAGTTCACAATGAATATTAGATACTAATTTTGTAAGGACTTTTAAATTGAAGTTTTCAACTCAAAATGGTAAAAAATTCAAAAGTATATTATTTATAGTCCAAGAAACAAAATTAGTATCAATGAGTTCAGAATTATAGTGTGACACCTTCAAACATTGGCTAGGATATTGTCTAGGCAAGATACAAGGTTCCAGAAGTTGATAAAATAAAATTTGGGGGAGCTGTTGCAATGGTACTAATGTTTGAATTTAGATAATTTTGTTTATTACTTAATACAAACATTTGAAATTCAGTGCCATTTTAAATCTGCTAAGAAGTGGTTTAAACATTTAATTCATATATTTTGGCTGTTAGAGAAATAAAACAATGAAGGCATAGTAACATATCTAGAAACCCCTTATACAGTATACGTCATGTTCAAAAAACAAAGTGCTGCTTCGATCATTGTGTTGAACTTCCAAAGCTATTACTTTTCTCTGTTAAAAACACTGCTGATACTTAAACAGTCTTTTATTAGATATTTCTAGTTTAATGTTAAACAAAATGTTAAAAAACACAAGAGAAGACATGAAAATTATTTATGTACAGGAGTTTCTAAACGAAGCAAGACTTTAAAACCTTAATATGTTAATCTTTATATAATGGAGGTCAATTAGATAATTCATTTTTTCCAATTTCATAGACTAAGAAATGTTAGCACTAAAAGAAAAAATTCAAGTCTCTAGATGCAGATCTGTTTTTAGACTTCACTTTTATACTGTAAGCTAGTTAAATAATGATTACAAAAAAGTACTCACCTCCCATCTGTGTCTTGTGGAGTTTCTGAAAGAACAGAATCTTTTCCAACAGAGCTCTCTGATGGTGTGTTGGTCCTTCCTACATGTACCAAAGTTCGTTGTTGCTCTAAGTCCACAGATGCTCTCGTACTGCTACTTCCACTCCAGTTCCCGCTGGATGATTGGCCTTCTTCTGGACGTTTTTCACCAGGTCGAGAAGTCTCCCGCAGGCGGACTGCAACAGTCATGGCTGCTGAAAGAGTGGATATAGGCAAGAAACCTTTACCTTTGCCCTTTCCCAAGCCTTTTTTATTTGGAAATGTCTCACTGTCTTTATCAGATGAGTCAACCTCACCACTTTTCTTGGACTTTTTACCCAGTCTCCAATCTTTTGTTAATTTCAATTCCATTGACTCATACAGACCTGACCAGCGATCCTTTTTCCTTGGTGCTGGTTCCTCCTTTGCAGGAACATTGTTGTTTTCCTCTTTTGGTGAGCTTCTTTCTTTTTTAAATGATTTCTTTAGTACACTAATTTTGCTGGATTTACAAAATGTTCCTTCATCCTCTGTCTGGCAGGAGCTGTCTATATAATTTTCTTGTTGTTTTTCTGAAGACTGCTGCAGAACTTCCTGTAGTTCTTTACTGCTTCCTTCTGAAATTGTATTCCTTCGTTTGTTCCTTCTCTTTTTCTTCCTCTTAATTACAAAGTCAGCCTAATAAAAACAAATACTGTTAACTCAAAACTAATAAAAAAATTGTTAAAAGTCAAACAAATAGAAAAGAAAAGAGATCAATAATATTAATTGACTCATCCATCAACACTGTTTGTTACCTTAAAAACACTTAGTTATTAAATACCAAGAACCTGCAAAATTTTCAACTCTTCCAGACCATCTAAAATCTTTTAAACGTCTGAATGAGTTCCCGATTAAATACAAACCTTCTGTATAAAAAACAAAAACAAAAGAACAGCCATAATAAGATAGGAAACTTACAGAATTATGGGAATTCTCCTGCTAAGAATTCTTCTCTATGTCAGACTGTTGTATTCTGACAGAAAAACTAACTATAGGCAAGAAGTCTTCAGTGAAAACTTAGATTTAATAAGAAAGACATCTAAGCTACCCTAACACTAAATAATCCAAGTGTGAAAGTAGAATATAGTTATTACAATACTTAAATACAATTTTCAGCTTAGAAAGTTAACAGGTCAACTATCTAATTCTAAAAAAACAATACCAAATAAAAGCTTATAATTAATGTTATAATTTTGTTACTAGTAAGCAACCAAGTTGGTAAAAAAAATGTCATTCAATTTCACGTGTTACAGCACTTATAATCTTTTTTGGGGTTACAAACAAAATCTATAAAAAACTGGTAATATTCAAGTAACACAAAAATGAGATAACTACATCACTTGAATGTTTAGCTTTCTTCAACTTCACTTCTTTTCAAAACAAAACTATTTCAGAATAAAATTATTCAAGAAAATAAGGTTAAAAGAATATATAAAATAGACATAAAAGGAACATAAAAACACTAAAGAAGGGGATACTTCATACATGTATAAATTGGATGTACAAATTTTTCCAAAGTAATGAAGAGCAATATTAAAATTCTCTTATAAAATAAGAGAATGAAAAGAAAATCTAAAAGAAGGAAAATGTATTCAATAAAGTTAGCGAATTAAAATCCATCAAGATTCATGAATACTAAATAATGGCAGAGGAAATCACAAAAGGGCAAACAAAATATATATAACCATCACTTTTTTTGTGAAAAAAAAAAAGCTTATAAAGCAGTAGGCTTAAAATTTGCAGAAAAGCAACATTTGAAATAAACTGATGAATTTCATTAAATGTAGAAGCCAACACAAGGATATCTCCTTTTGGTAAGGAGATTTCTCACAAAAAATCAGTAACAGCCATTACAGTAGAACCTTATCAAAATAGTGAAAAATATAAAATGTCACAGATGTTATGACTACAATTCCAACAGAAATGATTCACCGTGTAAATCATGGACATATAGAGACCTGGGACTGTGGCACACTCACAGATATTATGACTACAATTCCAACAGAAATGATTCACTGTGTAAATCATGGACATATAGAGACTTGGAACTGTGGCACACTCACAATTCCAACAGAAATGATTCACTGTGTAAACCATGGACATATAGAGACTTGGAACTGTGGCACACTCACAGATGTTATGACTACAATTCCAACAGAAATGATTCACTGTGTAAATCATGGACATATAAAGACTTGGAACTGTGGCACACTCACAGATGTTATGACTACAATTCCAACAGAAATGATTCACTGTGTAAATCTTAGACATATAGAGACCTGCGACTGTGGCACACTCACAATGTCGGGACTAGAATTCAAACAGAGTTATCACTAATAAAAAAAGATACATTCCTGAGTGGATGATGATTTAGTTTTGAGAATCAGAGAAATTGCTACAAAATTTATTCAACTAACAAACAATAACTTCAATAGAAGTGTGAGGTAATAAGAACTATATAAAGGTTGACAGGTTGCTCTGTAAACATCCCAAACATTAATCCCCAATTGCAAAAGAGTTCTCAAGTGAACTATTTACAAACCAAAAAAAAAAATATGTATCAACTCTACCATACACTCCTTTCAGATGGGGGGGGGGGGGGGAGAAAGAGTATGGACATTCAGGATTTAAATCAATTACATTCATCTTATGCAAGATGACGATTCACTTTTAATAGATTCAGTGAAATTACTGGAGTTGATCTCACAATTAGTAAAGTCAATACAGAATATAAATGACTTTCTTTATCCTAGACATATATACTCCAACATAAACTATGTTTAACCTTTCACACTTTTTTATTCCTACCCACCAATATTTATTCTGAATCATATTTTTTACCATGGTATGGTAACTGACTCTATATAGATCACACAGTTAACACAGTTTTACTATAGGATATACACAGCTTTCTAACAGTAAGTAAATACAATAGACCATGTAAGGTATTCTAAAATAAAAGTTGCAATACTTAATTTTCTGCTGAATAGCTAATCTACACGTGTCTTTCTGACAACTATCTAGTGGTAGTAATTACATCTATCATCTTCAACCCTTTGTTATTTAACACTATTGCAGAATTCAAATAATAATCAAGTCACAGTAATGAATACTACATCCCTAAGTACACGAAAGCTCATGCATATTATAATGTACTTGTGTGCTAACTTTTGATCAACAAGTGCTTGCTGATTTACATAAACACCTGCTCTCCTACAGTTTAACCTGCCTGGTGTAAAACACCATAAAAAAAATTCAATTTCAGGTAAGTAAACATGAAATTAGCAACAACTTTCTGGTTGTACAATAAAAATTACTTGAATAACTCTTGTACAATTACTGATTGGTTTTACAATATACAAGCTATGCATTTTATACATAAAAATGACTTAATTTTTGGACTATAGCTACTCCCTAATAAACACAAACATGTCAGGGAAATTAACAAGTTGTTTATGTGCCAAATTAAATTATATTGTGATATGACAAACTATGTCCCTGCTATGATCTTATGATCTTCAATGGCAAGATTATTGTGGTGTAAAAAATAAGGTCAGTATTTGAAACTAAGGCTACTAATTTTTTTATAATATCAAAGAATCTTGTGTCACAATTCCAGATGAATGTTAAATTACTTTTTGATGACATAAGAACAAAAAAAAATACTCAATTAAGATACAAGAACTGATTAATGTAACACGACACAGTAAATTAGATGCATTTGATCTGTGATATTGCTTTGTATATCACATAACATTTTTTTATTCTATACCAGAGTTATCCCTTTATGAAAGAAAAAAGTGAGAAGGAACTACTTTTAAAATATATACCAATACATAGTTTAAATTCATTATTTTAATTAGATAAAATGTCTTAATTCAAGAGTATAATTGAAATAGATATTTTCTTTTAAACTTTTTATCTAATTACCTTCAGCAAATTTCACAAAGGAACCATTCTCAAACTTTCTTCTAAGAGAAATCAAGTTGCACTGCACAAAGAAAGCTGAAACTTTACTAATTAACAAATCAGTAGAAAGTTAAAACTAATTCTTACATGAATTAGAGACCGACGAAATGTGGCCATTCTGGTGAACCCAACCTCAGTGACATCAATTGGTACAACAGATGATGGATAGTCTATGGAGAGAGCATGTGCACGTTCTTCAGGAGAAGGTAAACGATTCATTTCTAAAGAAGTGGAAGCATGATTTCTAGGTTTTACATCAGTACTGCTAACTGAAAAATCCTCTTCATCTTGCCATTCTCTAGTAACAAACATACTGGCAGGCTGTGAACAAAAGAAAAAATTTGAATATTGGTTTTTTAGCAAGTGGTCCTAGTACTAAATTTTATCTAAAACAAGTACCTTTATCACACAATATTTAAATTCTTTACATAGTAGGAAGTTCCTTTTTTTTAGTTTAAACCATCTATATAAAATACATAAAGTACACAATTTGATCTGCTTTACTTAATGTTTTGTTGCAAGATATTCTTAAGCATATTATACAGCTTTGCATTTTATTCATTTTAAATTCAGATTCATACCATTATTACTTTCCTAACCTTTTTTAGAATTCAAGTACATTTTTAACAATTTTTCAATAGGGTGATCAGTTTTAATATTAAAAAAGAACAAGTTGGTTAAAAATATATGCAATGGTGATAAACTTACCTTAATTTATTTTACTTAAATATGTAAATTTAGGAGGTATTGTTCAGACTAATGTTGACACAAAGCTAGCCAATCAAATAAAATGAGTAAAAAAGTGTCTCAACATTACATAGTAGAGTAGAAAGTTTATGAAAGTTTAGTTTAACTAAATAAGTTGCAATAAAAGTTAAATAGCTTTTTGCTGATTATTTAATTTTGGCTTTACCAATTACTTTCATAATGGGAGATGGGTCCACATCACGTTCAGCATGCACTAAGTGAAAGTGACGTGGTCCCAACTCCCAATATGTTCAAATTAACTGGTAAAGTTGAAAAAGAGACTATACTACACTTGTCCTAGCATTGTATTCTATGGTACACCGAAGATGCAAAGTATTATTTATGTCTATGATTTGTGTAATGAATATTCTTTCTTAGTGCTGAATTATATACATCTCATAACAACATCAAAATACTAGGATTTATGAAGGGATAAAAACTCTCTCATTATGTAATGTTTCACTAACTGGAGAAAGAAAATGGGTTGAACAAGTCTTCTGAAACAAAGGTTTTTCAAAGGAATATCAAATTTGAATATGGTTTTTAAGATACAGGTTAAAAGCAGCCCTGACCCTCTTGTTGATGATATTCAAGTGCAGTTGGTATAACCCTTCTAGAAGGGTTATATTAGAAGAAAGGTATATCAGTAGTTTTGAGCCTTGTTGGCAGGGTAAGAGAAGGAATGACTCTAACAGGATGAAAATAGGCTACTTCCTGACTGGCTACCAGTTGCATAGAAGAGGCAGTAAAAAAAAGTTAAACAGCTTTTCACCAGAAGCAGCCAAAGAACACAGTGATCAATTTCAGCTAAAGTAGGAACTTTCTTTAGAACTATGGACAATATAATTCACATGGATATAGATATACAAAAGCAATAGAAGCATCAAGTTCACAAAGCACACCCAATAAACAAAAACCAACTGTCAAAAGACTGTATGAGCAATATCTTAAGTGACAAATGGAAACATGTTATCACACCACATGAAGGATATGTCTACATAAATGTTTGCAAAAATCCAGGTAGTTCTTATTGCCCTGCCAGTGATAAAACATTTCAAAATGATACAGGTACATGGACTTCTATGGCTGTAGGTTGCTTAAATTGGATCTCCAAAGTCTTTGTTTACATACAATTGAGGGTTTGAGAAAAATTGTAAAGAGTAAACAACTGACTTCAATGTATTGTACACAAGATTCCTACAGTGGAAACTGTGCTACAGAGCAGTAATTTAAAATCAGAATCATCACATACAGGGGCTAAACTACATGTAAAAATGAAAAAAGTTTCAAACTTTGTACAATTTGCCTCAGAAGATTTTGGAAGCATTTGTGATATGGAGAAGAATGATAGTTAGATCAGAATTGTATGCATACACATGCGTTTTTTTCTGTACTCTCAACTACAAAATATGGTGTTTAGCTGTTCCATTTAAGCAGGGGACAAAGTTTGTCTTTATTAATAACATAGTTGATCATATTCCGAGTAGTTATTAGTTACCAATACATGATGCGAGAAGTATTTTATGTAAATAAGAATCCCAATTCTAACCAATTACAACAAAGAAAAAGCATTTTTTCAGTAATGACATCATCTATTGTTCATCCAGAAATAAAGGTGGGGAAAGGCAACTAGAGCGAATAAGTGTTATTTAATAATCCTACAGGCAAGATTATTCAGTAAGATGTATTATATTAACAATTAAGCTTTTTTAATGTAGCATTTCCCAAACTTTTGTCATCACAAGCCCCTCCCCTCATTTTTTAAATGAGTAAAAGAGTGAAAAGATGTAATACACATTAAGATGCTACATGTGTTATAGTAATTACTTATTGATTTCATTAATATAAAATATACCAAAATGCTTATTTTTGCATTATTGTACTATTGACTCTACCCTAATGCTTGTGCCCTTTCAATAGATCATTTGCACTCCCCTGGGGAAGTGCACCCTACACCTTAGAAAATGTTGTCTTAATGAAACCTCTTCACACAAAACACTATCAATGATGGAAGAAAGGGCTGTAAAACCTAGACACTCATTCTTCTATTGTTACCACAGACTGTGAACACCCTTGTGCTAACCAAATTTGTGTTTATCTGTAGATATTAAGTTATAATCAGCTTAGCAGACAAAAATTCATAATACCATTTTGCAATTCCCTTTCATAAAGTGCCACTGTAAAAAATAACACGTGGAAAACCAAAATTATCAGTTAAACTTCCTTCTTTTAGAAATAGGCTATTGTACTGCTTAAGACTCTATCAGAGTTACACAAAATTAAAGGTTGAACTTTTTTGTTATATACTGTATACAACATAAAACTCGGAAAGTAAAAAAGAGAAAATTATTAACTCAAGAAAATAAAGTTTCGGACAAGTAAACAAATTTAACAGCAGTATTGATTTTTTAACACTGACAAAAAAAAATATGTGGCATATTCTTAAAGAATTTGAAAAGCAATTATCAGTGTATGCGTATTTACGGCTTCTATGTAATTCTGTACTTGTTGCATATTCATAGGCCTATAAACCAAAGTATCACGAGTCCTCAGTCATTCCACGCTGTTAAGCCTAAATACAAAAATTCACTGAGATACATTTTTTTTATTCAGTTCATCCAACCATATTTGTTTCTAAACTTTAGTTAAAGAGAGAATTTTAGAGAAATATTGCTGAGAAAGAGTGAAATTAGCTAGCCCTATTGAGCTCTTTCTACACAAATTAGTTTTTCACAGATATTTAGAGTAAATTCTTTAATATTGTTTAGTCCCCTTTTGTAACTTATGTATATCATAATTTTATTGTCCTAGGCTACTTATTCTGGTATTTTCTAGGAACTAAACTGGAGAATCTGATTTCCTCTTCATCAAGTGGGGTTCTCTAAAGAACCAAAAATCTTTTGACTTTGCCAATACCTAAAGAGATTAGTACAGTAGTTAGTTAACATAGGGACATTAACTATCACAGTACCTTCGGTACATGTTTTGGTGACTTCTTTCATATAACAGTAATTTTACATGAATAAATTATTAAGATGTTGTTAAACTTGCATTAAATTCAATCAAACATTTGCTACCAATACCAAAATAGTGTTTTTCTTTACAAAGTTACAGTAATAACAATCTTACCAACACAAGCTATTTAAAAAGTTAAATAAAAAACAGCTTGCTAAAATCTAATAGTAACTGTTGAACTAAAAAACTCCACTTATCACCATGTTACTGGACATAGAACCGAAACCCAGGAGGTGCAAAACTATTTACATTATACTTACAACATTGATATTTCTAATATAATTATCAACAGTATAATGTCTTCACATTATTAACAGAGTATCTAACAATCTAAATTGAAGAAATTCATTATACTCTAGTAACATGATATCTCAGGATTATGTGGCAAATATTTTATAGATTTCATGAGTTAATATTGGTTATAAAAGAACACTACTAGCTTTTGTGTTCAAAACTAACAAATTATATGCATTTAAATACTATAAATTCCTTTTTTTTTCAATTAATAAAATTTATAAGTTTAAGAGAGTCTTTACTTCAGCTGCAACTGACTATTAAGTTCTGGCATTTTATGAAGATCTCACAATGTCCTAGAATTTTTTTTTCTTTTACATTTGCGTTTGTATTATTAAAACAATTAGCAATGAATGTCCTAAATGTATGAGCTGCAAATAAGCAACTGCTAACCAGAAGATAACCACTTTTTTTTTTTTAATCATAGTTCACTCTTTGGTTCCTTTACTTACCCTACGTGTTTCAATTTCCAGATCATACTTTTTGTGATCATCCCCAAGTACGGGCATACAAAGAAAAATCTTTGAGCCTCTTCTACCATCACCTCGGTAGTGATCAGTTGATCTAAGAATTGGCACAGGTGTGGCTGCAGCTACATTGTAGAGATTCTGTACCCAAATTGGCCTGGTGTCTGTGGTGAAGAGCTCACAATCTGTTTGATATGTAGTGGTGAACTGATCCTTCAGTTGACTTACAGAACAGACATCTGCAACAGCTGAAAGACAAATGACTTTATTACACTTGGTAGGTATCTTAGATACAGAAAAACATGGTGAATTTATATCTGTAAATTTCAAAATATTAAGTTTGTACAAATCTAATGTATATTTACTTCTTTGTTTAATAAATACTAACAGTCCTAATATATACATTTTTCCTTGAAGCTGAAAGGCCACCAATTATTTCCTTTACATGTCTGAATATTAACATATCCAACAAGACAAAATTCTTAATAGCCATGACACTTGAAATTCTTTTAGGTAGGATGAGAGTAAATTAATCTATGGGCCTTTTGTTTTTTCCTTTTATTAGCTATATTTTTGTGCACCAACAGTACCAAGCATGGAGTGCACATACACCTGATTTGATTACTCATCAGGATTTCTACCAGCCTACCCTCAAATT